TTAAAGAATTCATTTTAAAATCTTATTTTCTGCAATTTTTTAATTAATTGTAATTTTCTTACCATCATTTAAAAGGAAATAGGCACTCTGAGTTTATTTTATCGGATTAAATGTATGTACGAGGTTATTTAAAATTACGTTGCGTTATAAGATTTCATATTAATTGATTTTTAAAGTGCCAAAGAAAATTTAAGTTTTATAGTAGTTTTTGTTTTTCTATTCAACAGTTTGATCTGAACTGTTCAATAGAAATTGATTTTAATTATTATAAATTATATGCAACTGAACTTGTACTAAATGTAACCTCGAAAAGGATAACACAAATAAGTAAAACGCATTACCAAAACATTTTTTTCCTGATCCCTTTAGTTTTCAACCCACAAAATATGTTAAATTTCTTTGCTTTCTGTATAAAGGGTCTATGAATTTTGTTAATTTTGACCTTTAATTTATGAATAATTTAATTTATTTTAGTCTTTGTAGTCTTAAGTACTTTACTTAATTATTTTTTCTGAGTGTGGGCATAAGTTGTATTTTACTGAACAAAATTAGTGCAAAGAATTGAGCCAGGGTTATTTTCGACAATAAAACTGAAAATCTTATTAATTTTGAATGAAAGCCTTAGTTTTTTTTAATTCTTTTTCATCTAAGTTCATAACTGTATTCAATCTGTTAAGCATTAATTATGAGAAATTATTCCTTGTAGGGAATGTAGATTGTTATAGAGTTTTCCTCTCTTATGTAGTATAAATTAATGAGTCTCTTCTAAAATGCATAGATCTAACATAGTCCTGACTTTTTCAGAAATTAAATTTTACTGCTGAATTGACGTTAGATCTGCATTTTAATAGACGATCATTTTTTGACTACATGGAAGATTTTAAAGAAAATTTATTAAGTCTTTTTTAGTTTTTTAATTTTTTTTTGTGATATTACTGATATTTTTAACATCTCTTTAACAATTTGTTAATTTAGAATTTTATAATATGTATTTATAAATTAGCAATAATTACGTAACTGAAAGTTTACAATAACATTGTTATTATTTAAGTAGCACAAATGTCTTAATTTAAATGAATAATGACATTAATTTGCTTATATCTATTTATGTATGTGTGTATAAGTGCAATTGGTGTTAAATAATTTGTGTTAATAATAAAATAAAAATACTTAATGCAATATCTGAGAAAAGGTCATTTATATAACAAACTTGTATAAATTTAAACTTTGCTATATTAATGTACATTTGGAACATATAGATGCATACATAACGTATGTATATGTACGAATTTATAAAGTTGAAGTTTTTGGAAAAAAAACTTGAAAATTCATACATTACTTGTAAATCAGCGACGGATCTGTCATATATGCAAAGTAAGCATATGCAATTAGCGCCAGAAAATAGGGGCGTAGTTATTATATGCAATATTCAATGTTTGTTGCATATTGTTCATTGTTTGGAAAGCGGTAGAGCACATTTTTTGAGAACCGCGTAGGGCGCCGAACAGCTTAGAACCGAGCCTGTGTAAATGCATGCTAATGGTCGATCACACAAAACATTGAACTTATACAAAAAAAAACAACACATAATAATTTAATTTAAAATTTTATAAGCTTTTATTTTAGTATTTTTTATATTTTAAACATAAAATTGAAATTATTTAGAATAAATCGTCTGAGTTAAAAGTAACAATAAAAATGTGAGTCTCTAAATGCAATTTTTTTTAATATTTTAAACCTATTTTCTGTAACATAATTTCTTAATTAATTCCTAATATTATTTATTATTCCTGTTATTATTTGCAAAAGTTCAATTAAAACATGAAAGTTCGGGTATAATCGGAAAGTAATCAAAAATATGCATCAATGCAGTGTCGAGGCAAAAAAATGTTGCTTATGCTATACTAATGTGAGGCGTGTACCTTCCTGATGCAATATTGTTTTGATATTTTTGGACACTTTCTAAATCATATATTTTTTGGCGTTTATTTTGAAAAGATTTTGTGTAAAAGTATTAAAATTATTAAAAAACCGAAAATTTAAAAATATTAATGCTGTACATATAAAGAAATAATTAACTTAATTAGTTATTGAGTTAAAATAATAAATTATTTACTTCTCAGCTTCCATTCCACAAAATTGATGCTCAGGTTAATTTAATATGATGCGCATACGATGCGTATTTTTGACATTTTTGGACATTAAATATTTAAAGTATTACCGTATTGATGTATTTTTGTATATGATTTTTACCTGATTACTCATCGATACTGCATCGATTACTTTCCGATTATACCCTTCTTCATATACAACTGCAGAAAAAACGGATGACATAATCAAAGGAATTTATCTGCCTTTAACTCGTTCCTTTGATTACGTCACTCATTTGTTCCTCAGTTGTATATGAAGGAATTTTTATTGAAGTTAGTATTAGTATAAAGTGTAATAGACACAATACCTATTAATTAAATAACTATGCACGTTGTATTGGTAATTCAGTATGAAATTTGGTTTTTTTTTTGGTATTAAGATCAAAACTGAAATGTAATTTGCTGTAAGCCATTTGTTTTATCAAAAATATATTTCCCATAATTTTCTTATTTAAATAAAGTAATATCCCTATTAATGAAGTACTAAAGTGAGTATATGTAAATGCAAACGTACTGTGCTTTGGAACTTTGCAACTTTGTATTTTAGATCTTGTTGCAATTACCATTCATGTTATTTATATTATTAATTATTTTTTACCTTGCATTTTAATTTGAATTACTTATATTTTAAATAATGTCTTTTTTCAAATTTTTATCCTATCTCTTCTATTTGGAAAATCAAATTAAACAATCAATATTAGTTTTTCTTTAACAAAATGGTTATTTCCCTTTTTTTTTTGCAATAATTCTACCAGTATAGATTGGCATGCTCTAATACTCTACCTTAAATGAACTCAATCAATTTTCCCAATCGCAATCTATTGAAAATTGCTTAATTATTATTATATTGTATGGGTGCGCTGGTATATTATACTAAGTATAACAATAATCACTTTGCTATATTTTGTATACTCGTACTTATATAAAATAAGATTACATTGTAGCTAAGCTAAAAAATTTGTTTCAAATCAAAGTAAAAAATTTGATTGTTTTCATTAAAATTCAGTCACAACACCCAGTTTTTTTTTTCGTCAAAATACCTAAATAATATGTTAAATATGACTTCTTTTTAGATCATCAGATGGAATCAAAAAACAAAAATCCCCCTACCTACTTGTACTTACATTGTTTCTGTATTTTTGATTATAAAATAGGAGTGTGATGAATATAGGAGTGCAATTAAATTAAATGAAAACTCTTAAATACTTTGTATGTATGTATATGCAAAATCTGATGAATTTTGCAGTTCCACTCAATATTACTATTTTTTATATCATTAATTTCAATAATTTACATTGAAAGTACATATGAATGAATAAAACGTGGGTGCAGATTCACTAAATTTTAAACTGGTTATAGAATAGGTGTATGTATTTTAAAAAATACATGTATAGAGTCATTTTATACATTTAAATGAGTATATATATACATACATACGTAATGTATATTCAATTTTAGACTTTCAACGCATCATAATAGACTTACGTACAAACATACGTGTAGGTTACAGACAATAAGTCTAAGACAGTAAGTTAAGCGTGTAATACATATGTAAATAATATGCAATGAAAAATTTGATTTTAAAATAATTTCCTCTAATAAGTTTCCATAATATTTTAAAAAATTAAAAATGAGTAAATTTCGGAATATATAAGAGGCCTTCAAAAGTTTTGATAATATAGGGTAAATATGTACCTGTTTTAATTCCGTTATCAGAATTTTGTTATCATATACTTTTTTAAAACGAGCAAGAGTTTTATCTTGTTCTCATTTTTTAAGAGTACTCATACTCCGATCTTACTCACAAAAACAAATTTGTTGGTAAAATTTTGTATTGTTTAAAAACATAAATAATGGCCGGTAGCGCAATAAGATTTAAAAAAAAAAAATTAGAAAATATTTTCTAGTTAATTTTTATTTTAATGTACGCACACTTATGTAAATATTTTGGAACTATAAAATTTGGCCTTGAATTTTTTTTTAAAGAAATTAGTTTATCTTATTTTATATACAGCATACGAATGAACAATATAAATAACAGTACAAATTTGCGGAATTTTTGTTTTCTAATAAACGTTCGGAATAATTTGTATTGAAGTTTTTGGCAGTAAAATATTTTAAATCTGATTTAATTTTAACCTATAGATTAAAAATTAAATCATGTAGATCAAAAATATTTGTTTAGCTTTTCCTTATTTAATTAAAAATTATTTTTAAAATGAAATTATTTAAATTATGAAATTATTTTGCCAATAATTTCTGACATAAATTTAATAAGTTTTCTTCCATTTGAGTTTAAAATGTAGCGGCCCCATTATGCTAACGCAGAAATTAAAATGAGTTCTTAATATATTCCCAACATGTTATTAGAAAGTTGCAGTTTTTAAATAAATGAGGCTGATAGCAAGTATTGTTAATTATCTATTATGTTGCAAATTATCTTCATGAAAATCAATTGCATTAATGTTGAGAAATTTTTTTTTTACAATTAGACAACAACATTAGAAAGGAAAAACTGACTATTGTTTTCCTTTTATACTTTTGTTTTGAATATCTTGGTCTATTGTGAATGAAAATATAAGAAATTTGAAATTCACATGGTAATAAATCGTTTTATTAATCGTTTACATTGATTGAATCGTTAGTTGTATCGACATCGATACAAAAGAAAAATTATATACTTTGTAAAAGAAATTATAGAAATTTTGAATTTATGTTAAAAAAAACCTTTTTTGTCAAATTTTTAAAATTGAAAAAGGAAAAATTTATATTTATAATTAAAAAAATACAAACTAATTGGAAATTCAGTAATTATTCTAATACGATTTTTTTTTTGTTAATTTTTTTTAGGCTGAAGCAAGACTGGCGGCTAGGCGCCAGGCTCGTGCTGAAGCACGAGAAATACGAATGCGTGAATTGGAAAGGCAACAAAAAGAAATGGATCAAAATGCTGATCGGGCTTATGATATGCAAACATCATCTGGTATTGATCCATTGGCAAGATCTCGTTTAACAGTTGTTGGTAATCATATTGGTAATTCAATTGGTAATAATACATCACATTTAAGAGCAACAAGTAGCGGTGGTTCAATGTCATCAAGACGTAGTAGTGAAGATTCATTAGAAGAGGAAGGCAGAAGTATACGTGATATTAGACATGAATTGAAGGTATGAAAATTTTTAAATTAAAACAAAAAATTTACTTGTCTCTTTAGTCATGTTCCTATTGCACTAATGAACTATTCTAATAGAACTCCCTTTAAATGTTTGATTATCACAATAATTATAAAAAGTTTTCATTAATAAATCAAGCATTTTTTTTGACGCTAACTTTGCGGCTGAAAAGTGCACATATATTAAGAGATGCGGTTTAAGACAGAATGACGCTAAAAGAATATCGGAGTACAAAACTTTTTTTTAAATTAAATAATTTTAAGTTTTTCTGTCCCCATTGAAAATTTAGTATTAAAGAATGCTTTGCTTAAACTTTTTAAAAAAACTTCAATTTAATTTGTCGTTTTGTAAATTTTTTTTTAGATTTCAATATTTTTGTATTGCAAAGCATTTTTGTATTTATTTCATAATATGAACAGGTTTTTCTAAATACATAATTGCATAATATACATACATTTGTATGTATGTATACATATAATATTATCTGCACATATTACACATAATTTAATTTTCTTTTTTCTTTTACTTTTTTGCTTTTTTTTTTTTGCATTAAAAAGGATCTTGAAGAACGCTTCCGAAAAGCAATGATAGCAAATGCTCAGCTAGATAATGAAAGAACATCACATACGTATCAAATTGAATTACTTAAAGATCAATTAGAGGAGAAAGGTGAAAAATATGCACAGCTACAACGTGAATATAAAGAGAAATCACGTGAAACTAATGCACTTAAACGTAATGTTGATAAATTAGAAGAAGAATTACGATTAGTTAAAGGTCAATTAGATGAACGTGATAGTTTAATTAGTGAACAAGGTTTAGTTATTGTATTGATTGAAAATGATGATGGAACAGATGCTAAACGTGCTCTAGTCAGTGTTCAAAATGCACAACTTTTAGGTTCTGTACAAGGTTCTTTAGGTAAAATATTTATTATGTAGTTGTTTTCTTTATTTTAAAGAATGCAAAATAAATTGTAATAAATAAAAATTTAAAATTGTAATTTTTGATTTAAAAATTTATTAAATAATTTTTAATTTAAGATGTTCGACTTAAGAAATTTACCGAAGAAAAACAACTTTTACAAAAAGAAGTTCAAACATTACAACAGCAAGTAGATGAATTAAAATCACAAGGTAGAGGAAAAAGTTCAATGAATGGTCCATTAGGTATTGATGATGAATATGAAGCGCAAAGTAATATATTGATTTATTTGAAAAATATTAAAATTAATCATTTTTATTTTTTATATTTTTTTTTTTATTTTGTTTATAAAATATTTTTTTAGGAGAAGCAAATAAATTAATATCTGAATATAAATATAAATTACAAAAAGCTGAACAAGAAATTGCTAGTCTACAAGCCAGTTTAGCTAGATCAGAAACCCAAGTAATAAGATATAAGAGTACTGCTGAAGCAGCTGAAAAAGCTGAAGCAGAATTAAAAATTGAAAGAAGAAAATTACAAAGAGAGGTTCGTCATATTCACTACAATTTCGTATAAATTTTATTTTAATTTAAGTTAAGGAATATTTAAGTTTCTATTTTAATTTAGGATACACAAACATTCAACATTTTATTTATTATTATATGTTTATTATATTGAATAGCACACAAATTAGTTTATGTACATATTCATTTTAAAATTTTTTTATGTAGCTCTTAAGAAATTTAGAAATTTTAATTCTTCTTTAATTAATAATAGTTAAATAATATTAAGCAACAAAATTACTTTTCCAGCACTTGATTATTCATTTTTGGGACGAATGTCACTGCCAATAATATGAAAAAAAAAATATATTTTTTATTTAAAAGACTTATGATTTTTTTTAAAAAAATTTATGTAAGGAAAATTTATCGTTTGATTTTGGAGTTGTTTTCTTTTTTTTTTGTGTAATTTTATTACCTCTGTAAAATTAAATTTTTAAAAAAGCAATCATTATTTAAACAAATTCATCATAAAAAAAAAATTAGCAGAAATTTCATCTTTAATCAATTATTCATTTATTTTCGTTTGGTTTAATTATTTTTTATTTTGTTAACTAAATTTTTTTTTTTTTGGTTTTGTTTTGTAAAGTTTTGTCAAAATTTTAAAATATTTAAAATTTATGCTTTATGTACATAACATACATATAAAATTAAAAAATTTAAGACACAATTTCATTTATCACTTAGGTATTTAAAACAAGAAAGAAATATTTAATACCAAATTGCTTCAATGGAAATTTCGGATTTAAAATTTTCTATTTCAAATTTTTATTTAAAAAATTAAATTTTCTCAATAGTGCTATTGATTAGTTGTAGATTGATTAGCCACATTAGATATTGGTAGGAAATCAGTTCTAAATAAATTTTCAAAAATATGTTCAAAAACTAAGCGTTACAGCTGAAAAATAATTTTTTTTGTTCTTGTTCTTTTTTGATCTGCAATTAGTAATTTGAACATAGCTTTTATATTTTTATAAAATTAGGGTATTTTCGATATATCAGTTCTTTTTTATAATTTACCCAATATTACTAAATTTGCAGTAAAATAAGTACTGCACGAAATTCCAAAAAATTATTTTTAAACTATAACTGTAAACTAAGATCATAAAAAATTTATCTCATATACGCAGTTTAAATTTAAACTGCACATAAAAGAAAATTAAATATCGGAAGACTTAGAGAAACTAACATATTACACAACGGGCCTGTCTGTCCTATTAATACCTTAGAGCGTAAACTAAAAATATTGCAATATTAAATGGCAGCATAACCTAAATTAGAAAAATGTTGTTAGAGTATATTTTGTATTTTCATTTTTAAATTTTTATTTATTTAATACATATATAATTATTTTTAATGCTATATTTTATAAGTAAAATTAGTAAAAATACTTGATGAAACTCCAAATGGGTCTATTATTCACAATTCAAATCAGGGAATAATTATTTTTGTATTAAATATGTTAGATTTATAATTTTATTTTGATTCGTAAACAATAATTATAAATAATGTGTATTTAACATTAATAAATATTGTAATTAATTTTGCTCACAATTATAAATTAGAAAATGCCATACGAAAACAGTAGGTACCCCATATTATTTATATTACAATTAAAAAAAATACACACAGTTGTAAAATTTGTTAAATTTAAAGCGAAAATCGCTTTAAAGACAATAAGACAAGTAAATTTGTAATAAAGATGATTAAGTAACATGAAACATTGGTTTCTATTTTAAGAGATTAAAAATTAAAATATAAGGTTAATTAAAATCAAAATTGCAATTTATTAAAAAAATAATGTATGTATAAATTATATGCAATTTATAAACTGAGCATGTTAAAAATACTACAAAATCAATAACAATAATTGTAATAATAATAAAAATAACAATAACGATAATTATATAAAATAATTTATTACATAATTTAAACAGTTTCGCATTTAAAATGTAAAATAAATTAATATTGATATTATTTAATATTTTCACAATTTTATAGAATGTTAAAAATATTTAAGAATGCAACATAGAATTTTGTCTTTTCAGTTTTTTTTTTATGTTTTATATTGGCATTTGTATAACCCTATTCATTTGTTTATAATTAATTTATATGTATATATATATATATGGTTCATAATGTTAATTTGTTTGATTAATAATTTTTATACCATTTTTTATTTTGAGTAATCAAATAATATTTTAAGACTGTTTTCATTTTTATTTTTTTTAGAATCGTGAAACAATGGAGCGTCTAGAGGAGCTAGAAACATCAAATAATCATTTATTGAAAAGATTAGATAAACTGAAAACAGCAAAAAGTACATTATTAAAAGAACTTTGACATGGCCATAATAGTAATAATGCCACTAATACTAATACAAAACTTTTATTATCATCTTCATCATCATCATCAGCAACAACAACAACAACAACATCAGCAGCAGCTACTTCAAATAATATTAGTTTTTCTAAAACAAATACAAAAGCGGCTTCAACAATACCATTATCAGATTCATCATCACCATCTAAAATGGAATCTAATAGTTCGTCATTATTATTAAATAGAAATTCTATTATGAAAGAAGAAGATACTACTACTGACGATTCTGTATCATCTAATAATCCTTCTTCATCTTCAAGAAAACAAAATATAACAAAAAATATTTCAAATGCAACTAAAACTATGACTAATTCTAATTCTAATAAATAAATAAATAAATAATTTTAATTTAATTAAAAGCAAAGAAAAAAAAAAAACAAAAAAATATTCAAAAAAAAAAAAACACTTATTAACGAATTAACTTAAAACAAAATATTATTATTAAATTGAATTGAAAAAAAAAAAGAAAATAATAAAATTAAAATTTTTTTTTTACAAAAAATAATAATTTAATTAATAATATACAATATCTACATGTATATTATTATAATATTATATAGAAATTTATATTAAAATTAAAAAAAAAAGAGAAAAAAAAATGAAATTAATTTAAAGCCAATCATAAAGAAATTTTTTATTATATTATATTTAAATTATATATAAAATAATTATATATATACTAGTAAAAAAAAAATGGAAAAAAATAAGAAAATTTAGAGAAGTGAAAACAAAGTGAAAATCTTTGTTAGATTTGAACATAATTATTTTTTCTTTATTATTAATTATTATTATTATTTTTTTTTTGTTTATATTTATTGTGTTTTTAAATATATAATGAAAAATAAAACTAATTATCATTTTAAATATTTTTTATTTATTTTTCATTATTCTATCTGAAATTCTCTTATTTTGCTGTTAATATTATATATGAAATGCCTATGAAATATTTAAAATCAATAATTTATTTTTCTTTTTCGATTTGAAAATAATTTAAATTGCTTTTTTTTTTAAGTTAATAATTATTGTTATAAGATTCCAAAGCTTACAATTATCAATGTAAAGAATAATAATTGAGAAAATTCATAAATCATAATTAATTAACTTATATAATTAATATTATTATATATATTTTGTCACATCGAATTTAATTTAAGAATAATACTATTTTCGTGGATTTTCGATAACACAGTTCACAACTTAGGTCTCAATTGTTCTAACTAGAAGAATTGTTGAAAATCTGTAAATAAAATATTTAGTTTCTACAGATTTGTAAGTATGTTTATTAATATTTTTAAGATTTAATTTAGAACATTCAGTGAATTATTGAAAATTTGAATTATCGAAAATCCCCTGACTGGTATCATACTACTACTTGAAACAAATTTGAATTTTTGCAAATGCAAGGTGACGGTAAGAAGAAATGAAGTAAATTTTTGGAAGCACGAGAGATTTCAAAAATAATTTAGAATTGTTTCTTCTTCTTCTTATTCCTCTCCGCTTTGGAGGTTAGAATTGTTTAAAAAATAATAATACATAGTTTTCAGGTTCATTCACTATTGTTATTTTTTTTATATAAAACTGTATGCCAATTTAAAAGATCACCTTTTATACAAAAACTTGTATCCAAGACTTCTAAATTAATTAATGAGATAAAATAACTAAAAAATATCTCGCCACAGCTTTATTCTACAAATTTTTATTAATAATAAAAATAAGTGAATATTTTTTTATACATAATGGGTTATTTCCAGTGGTCATCAGCACCATTTATTTTCCAATATTAATAAAACCTTAATAAATTTAAAAGAATCCTCAAAAGTTACTGATTTTAAATTAATGCAACAAATTTATTTTAAAAGTTATTGACAAATTCATACATGTGTCATTCTGAACTACGTACTACAGGCTATTCATTCTGTTTGTGTTACATAAAAATTAAATAAATCTATTTGCAGGTTTTGCATTGTTGATCAGAGATTTTAAGAAAAAGAACGGCATTTTAAAGAGATATTATTTATATAATTTAGTTTTATCTTTTATATAATTATGATAACTCACATATTATGTATGTAGATTTTCGAATAAAAATATTATACATACAAAAATGCTAGGAAATATAATAATTAATTTGAAATAGTGATACTTTTCATAGTCGTTAACAATTTGACTTTGTCATTAATATCAAAACGATTGTGAGGCGAAATGATTTCTGACGAACGTCAAATTATTGACAATTAGAGTACCATTAATTTAATTTTTTTTTTCTTTAATAATTTTAACATATTTAATTAATAAAATCATTAAATTATTTATTTGGTTTTTCCCCATCCTCTTAATTTCATTAATTTTATTCAAAGTGTATAACTTATATTTGAAAATAATTTTAATTCTATATATTAATATTATTATATTTCAAAAGAAAAATAAAAACTAATAAAATATTTTAATTATTATTAACACAAAAAAAAACAAAGTATATTCAAATAAAATAAATGAAAAAAAAAAACATATATAGATAAAAATCAAAATAGTAGAAAAAATGTTATTTAATTTAAAATTAAAAGTTTTTAAAAAAATTTTGTTGAATTATAAATGAATAATTAAAAAAAAAAAAAAAAAAAAAAAGTGAAAAAAAAATATCTAAAAGTATTAAAAATAATTAAAAAAATTAATGGTAGTAAAATCGAAGGACTAAAATTAAAAGAAAAAAAATATGAATTAAATTTGAAAAAAAAAGTATGAGAAAATAAATTTTACAATTTTATATGGCAAAAAAAAAAAATTAAACAAAACAAGCAACAAAAAAAATTAATAATTTGTGGAAGGAAGAAAATTTTTTGTAAATAAATAATTATTGAAAAAAAAAACAAGAAAAAAATTAATAATTATTTTGTCGCCTTTTATTTGCAAATGCCTTTTATTTTTTATTTAATATTTATCTTAACCGAATTATAAATTCTAATTTAATTCATAAAATTTTTGAGTTACAAAGGGCAGACATCATTACCTATTTAATCATATTAAATAGGACGCCATCGAATAGCATGAAGTTGCGATAGAATAGCATGAAGTAGTTGCTGCTTATCAAAGTGAAAAAACAAAAGTAAATTTTAAATTAATAAAATAATTTTATTTAGCGAAATTCTTAATGTAAAAGTAAAATGTAAACTGAACGTCAAAAACTTTGTATTTTGTTAGACAGCCACTATGTAGTATGCATAAGTATTTGTTAAAAATATATTTTCAGTAACAGTAGTAGATGACGGTCCTATAAATTCCTATTTAATCTGAATAAAAGATAAGCCCCATTATCAATATAATCGGAATAAAAGATAATTAGTGAAATTTTTGTTTCGTACTTTGAATTCATCTCTCAACACTGAGAGTGAATAAATAAAAAATTTATTATTATAAGAATAATAATATTTTTTTTTAATATTTTTTGAATACATCACATCAAATACTTAATTTAAGTCATATTCAAATTAATTGAGGTAAGTATGGATCGTTGTCCGATAAGGCAGATAGAAATAATTATGCATATGAATTCACTTTTGCAAAATTTATTAAATCATGCAAATATTTTCGTAAATTTTCTATGTAAGTACACAATATGAAAATAAAACAAATGCAATAAATAATAAAATTTAAATAAATAGTGAATTTAAAAACGAAAGAGAAATAAAAAGTTGGGTCAAACCAATGGTTTGTATTGTAGCACTTTTCCCTTAAACAAGTGAAAATACTGCTTTTAAAAACAGTCTATGTATATCCACCACACTATTAAAATTATTTTCATTTTTAAACGAAACTATTTCTAGGATTGCATATATTTAGGATGAACCATTTATGCAGTCTTTGAAATAAAGAAAAATTTAATATAAACAGGGGTTAACATAATGCTCGATTTTAAGGGTTAATTGTGTGAGTTAAGAAAAATAATTATATTTTTTAATTTCATGGAATTTACTGTTAACTTTTTGCGTTTATAGAAATTTGAAAAAACTTGCGGTTTCAGACATATAAGGTGTCAAAAATGCATATTTCACAAATTTCAAGAGGCCATAACTTGAGAGGGGGTGGAGATGGAAAAAAATTTTCTTCTAACGAAATGAACTACTTGTTAATGTCTAAAAGCTCCTAAAATTTCAAGCTTCTACAGGCTGGGGTCTAGAAGAAAAACGACATGAAAAATTTGGAAAAAAAGGACTTTAGATAACGGTAAATTTGAACGGCCATTTTGTTTTTCTAAAGTTTAACTATAGTATACCGCGGTAGGGGAAGCAAGTCACTGCCCTTCTGCGTTTGCAAAATTTCAAAAATGCTTATGGTTTCATTGCAACAAATAGTTAAAATAGGCCATTTTTAGTGTTTTGGGGGGGTATAACTTCTAGAGGGGGGGAGATAGGTAAAAATTTTGTTTTACGAAAATAAGTTTCTAGTAAAGATCTATGTACGTATTAAATTTCAGCTTTCTATCTTTAAGAATGTAGAAGTTTTGTAAACAGACACACGGACAGACGGACGGACGGACGGACGGACGGACGGACGGACGGACAGACGGACGGACGGACGGACGGACGGACGGACGGACGGACAGAGTGAAACTAATAAGCACTTTTTTTCAAAAAATTTTTGGAAAAGTGCTAAAAATAGCAAAACCTGCAATAAAGAAAAAAAAATAGAACAAACTCAAATTATGTTTATATTTTATAAAATAAATAATAAAATTTACATGAATTAAATTAATTAAATCAGGTAATAATGATGACTAAAAGAATCAAGTAATAATGATCTTGCTTAAGCTTTTAGCTACTTTTAATTTTTAATTAATATTATATTTTGTGGGCTGCTAATAATTATCAGTGAATACAATTAAAATTAAAAATATCAAAAAAAGTAGAATTTTCAAAATAAAATTAAAATTGAAAAATATTCTTCTTATCATTTAAGAGAACTCTTATTGTAAATTATTATCATGATGATTTTTAGAAAATATTCCATTTTAATATTGCATACTTATTAGCGTCATAATTTTTATATGTACAGACAATTGGGAGCATTTAATTAATTTTAATTGATTTTATTGAATGACTTGGAATTTATTTTGTAAATAAATTAATAATTATTATTACAAATTTTTTAAACACAAGAAATAATAGTGGTTAATTAATACTTGATTTGTATCGGTTCGGTTACGAAAAAATTGGGTATTTTCGATAATCTTGTTCTAACTCAGGATCTTAATATAATAAAAAAAAATCAATACATCCAAAATTGCTAAATCTAATACGATATTGCCATATATATTTCGGAATTATCAAAAATCGGTGATATTAAGGTTTAAGTTAGAGAGCTGAATTTTTAAAAATCCCCATGTCCATCCATTATATTTTCATATAATATAATACTCCAGGATGCTGTTAAAAATTATATATTATAGCTTTTAACATTATTATATAATGTTAAAAGCTATAATTACATTATATTAATATTACTCAGATCAACTGAATATGTTCAATGTACATAATATATGATTAAAACTATACAACAATATTCTGTTAGTCACATTAATTGAGGTGATGAGATTTTATTGAAAAGTAACTTAATTTTTGAAAATAGAATTTCAAATTTCTAAATTTTTTCATTTAAATTTTTGTGAAAATGGTGATAGAGGCCAATATTTTTTAAAATATCAAGTAGTTATCATAATTTTAAGCACTACTACCTTGATGTTCTTTATCTGATATTATGATATACATCATCTATAAATACAACTAACATATATTTTATGTATTTAACATTATGTATTTAACATTATGTATTTAACATATTATATCTATTAGCTGTATCACCTGAATGAAGATCCTCCTATAATTAATCTATGTATATTTCACCTTTTTTAAATTTATAAAAGCAAAGACCTCCATTATCTCCTTACCTATTTATATTATACATACGCATTTACATATGCACATATAATCTTAATATACAAAAAAAAAACTTTGGTGTGAAAATATTTTAAAATTTTTTGTTTATTAAATTAAATTAAAAATAAATATTTAAATATGGACCAGAGATTATTTTTTATGATAAAAAAAAATTTTTGTATTAAGTAATTTTGTATGTGGTTCTCATTTGATAACAACAAGAATTTGTTCATAATTAAAAGATGCCTCTACTTTTTTTATTTACCCCAAATATAATTTTAATATTATTAAAATATTTTATTATTCCACATTTAATTAAAGTATATTTGTATTTTAATGATAATAAATTCATATGGTAGAGAAAATGGTTATCTCTTGAATTAATTTAAACACGAGCAAAAAATCTTACATATTTTACGTATTTATTGACATTCAGATTAAAATTAGAAATTATTTTTAATTATCATAATAATTAAATATGTACAAACCCACCTTTTTTAATGAAAAAAAAAATAATGTTTTTAATGACGATGATGGTACAAAAAATTCTTGTTATTTTTTTTTGTGTTGGTTTTCAATACAAAAATAATCTCAAGAATTGTTGTGAATTTGGAAGAAACAATAATAGTAAGATGTTATTATTTTCTACATAAATGTTTATAACAACACTCGTAGGGTATTCATCGAAAGGGTTAACTTTTGTGAATGGTTTGGTTTTTAAATTTAAAGAATAATACTAAAAAATTGCAAAATTACTTGTAATATTTATTTAAACTGATATACTAACTAAACTGAACGCTTGGTATAAAGAAGAGATTCTAAATTCAAAAACAAAAATCTATAGATGTCAAATCATATGAATTCGGTGAGCAATTTACAGCTTTAAAATTTAAAATAAAACTCACCGAACATTAACAATTATAATAATAATAAAAGCGTTTCCGGGAAGCGAATCTCTTTATAAAAAAATTACCAAACCAAGCTAAGTCGAATTGAATTTGACAATTTTCACGAATCCAGGTAATTGAAATGTCAAACGTATGAGATTGAAAGCGATTGAAATTCAGATACATAATATCAAATTCAATCAATTTAAATTCATAATTGTAATAATTTTAAATTAATTAGATCTCTATTTATTTTAGAATAGGAATGAATTTAATGCTCGTAGGTATACAGCGATATAGTTCCGAATAGTACCTATTCCAATGAAAGCACCTATTTCATATTTAATTTAATTATTTTAATTGTTTTTATAATTTTAAAATCGATTTAATCAATTTATTTTTTATATATCAATTTATTATGGTTGATTTAATTAAATTTATAACAGTTTTCATAATGGTGAGTTTTATCTGTTATCTATATATCAAATTTTTAATATAATATCAAATTATTGAAGTCTGTGTTATGAGTTAAGTATACTGAGATTACAAATTATACCTATCTCCTCTGTTATGTTTATTTATTATTATATCACAATAAAATATTATATTGTATATAAGTTTAAATTTGAAGTAATCACCTTGGGGGATGATGCTTATTACAATTATTCTAATATATAAAGAAAACCGAACAAGTTCGTCTCATTTAATACTATATAGCTTTAAAAATTTACTGTAATACATATTTATATATATGTGTTATACTTATATTTTCCATCCTTATTGTGTACCTATTCCTTATATTATAATTGCATATATATATTGTTATTCTTTTGTATTATTCTACTTTTTTAATCTACATATACATATGTAAACTTTTTGAAAAAGTTATAAAACCTTGTATGGTATTTGTTATATTCTCAGTTTATGATTAAATTTCGTTGAGATTTATTAAATTTTAAATTTAAGCGGAAAACCTAATAATCGTTTGTTGTTTTTTTTTATTTATTCAATTAATATATTTTTTTTTGATTTTTAAAAATCCGAAATATGTTTAAGTGTAAAACAAATTATGATGCTGAACAAAAAATTTGGTATGGTCCAAAAATAAAATCTAATTCTAATATTAATCATAAATCAGCTGGTGAAGTTATTTTATCTGTTTTGGAAAAAGTACCAAATAAAGTTATACAGGTGAGATAATTATAATGGATTTTAGAATGATTATGTCAACACCTTTAATTATAATATTGAGGAATTTATTAACATATTAAATTACAATGTATATCGAATGTGTATATCGAATATTATTAAAATCAGAGCGGGCACATAGTGATAGTAGTGATTTTACATTATGTATTTTACACAATGATTTTTGCATTAATAGTGGACATTCGTCTCATTCCCCATGTCAACAAAGCTTTTCGATAAGGGGAATGAGACTTACATCGTCGGTATTACGGAAGAGTTACGAAACTGCTTTTTTTGTGTTTCGATAAAAACGCATTTGAAAATATGACACAATAATGTCAATTATCAGGTTCGTATAAAATATATAACGCTATTTTTTCAAAACTACTAGCGTTAGAGTTAACGTAAGTGGCTTTGTTATAATAATAAAGTTTAAAAAATTCTGAATTTTTTGATTATATAACTCTCAAAAAAGCAATTTCGTGACTCTTTAATATTACCGTATGTCAATAATTCATGCAAAAAGTTGTGGTGTAAATACAAGTTTTTATGTAAACGCAGTTTATCGCGATATACACACATATTAAAAATAGCGCTATATTTATTTTAATAAATGAATGTTGCTAGAGTGTTTGTTCATAAAAATTGCCAAATTTTTGCAATATAGCGCAAATTTGACAATTTTAAGGGCAATTGCAATTTTCGAATGAGTATAGCAGTTAAATCCTTTGAACTGTGTTGTTTTTTTTGCGGAATAGCATTTCGCAGTTATGATTTTGCAATATTTCGTTTACGAAAATTTCTATTATATAATATTAACTAATTTGTGTGTACACCTCATTGCATCCGCGGTAATATATTATTAAAAACATCCGATTTAGCTTATAATCACGTTTCACAATGTTCACAATCGTATTTTTGACCTAAGTTTAACTCAGACTGTTTGGTATCCTTCATTATTCTAAATTATTTATTCTAAATTATGCACTACAAATTGCCATAAAATGACAAAAATCTTCCAATAGGGGGTCTTATGTAACAAAAAAAAAATATCGAACAAAATTTTTTTATTATTTTAATGAATAAAAATTTCGCAATCTTACAAAGTAGCTTGGTAATTTCAATGTTAATTTTTTTTTTGTTGTTTTCAAAAGCTTTCATTGCAGTTTTATTCGAATTAAATTTTTATAGTAGGAAGTAAGTGCGGCAATCACGTAATGAATGTCATACATTATTAAGAAAATGTCAAACTTTTTTATTCAATGAAAAAGAAATCTTGCATACATATATACGTACATACATATTATACATACATACATAAAATTTTCATCACAAATTTTATAACGGTGTTTTTTCAATAGAAATGCTTTTTGAGCAAACCAAATTTAATTTGTAAAATATAGAGTGCCGAAAATAAAATGCTTTTTTAAGCGTTTTTGTCGAACAATATCGTATCGTATGTCACGCAATGATTCAATAAATTTTTTGACATTTACGTAAAATTTTTTACTCAATTAATTTCGGTAAAAATGTAGTAGATGTTATAATGTGTAGCTTAGGGTTAGTTACCTCTAATTCTAAATAATTCAAAGACCACAATCTAATAACGCTGCTTTCTCGAAATCCAACTGTATGACTTACAAATAAATAAAAAATTCAAATAGAAAATCTTATAATTTTTAGCATTTTTGATTCATAAGAGTTCTGTGTTTGTATGCAATATGCATAAATGCTTAAAACCCGCACAATTAATTTCAGATTAGTGCAAATAATGGAATACAAATCACTGGTAAACAAATGCACACTCTCAGTATAAGAGCTTGTCAAAATCTTCAACTAAAGGGCTTGAAACAGAATGATGTTATTGGATTTGCAGCTAGCAATAGTCATTATTTAGCTCCAATAGTTTTTGGTTCATTTTTGTGTGGAACAACACTTAGTACATTAGATCCATCCTTTAGAAAAGGTACTTAGACTTAAAATTAAATTATGTATACATACATATGTACATATGATGTAATGTACTTGCACTTACATAAAAATTTAAATTTTTTAGATGAAATAAAGCATATTTATTCATTTACAAAACCAAAGATAATATTTTGTGATCCTGAGAATTATGAAGCTATGAAAGCTAGTAACGCTGAATTAAATTTAAATGCCTCAATTTATTTGATGAAAGGTCACGTGGAAGGAGTAGAACCCGTAGATGTATTTTTAAAATCAACCGGGAAGGAGTCAAATTTTATGTATGTATTTTATAAAATAATTGAATATAAGTTCGTATATTAGAAGTATTAAATATATTGCCTTTGTTTAATACTCAGTTCTTTTTTCAAATTTTTGATTCCAACGCATTTAATGATTAAGTTATAATATATAAGATTAATCAAATATAATTTGTGAGTGTCATGTACTTAATGTACTTAATCAAAGGCTGTCTTTAGTTAATTGGTTAAATTTTATAATGAACACACATATTGTATTTGTATTTTTAGTCCACCCAAATTACAAGATGGAGGTGATCAAGTTGCAACTATATTATGTTCATCTGGAACAACTGGTTTACCGAAAGGTGTCTGTATGTCACATAGAATGTTAACAAGACAAATTGATTTTGCGTAAGCGGAAAATAAATGACCTATTTAATAAATCTAATAAGTTTCGATTTATAATTAAGTTGAATTTTTGTTACAGGAATTTGACTGAAGATGAAGTTTTCTTTTGTTACAGTACTTTATACTGGTTAACTGGATTATTTATGGTAATTATGTTAAATTATAAGTTAATTATAATTAATCTTGAATAATTATAGTTAATCTTGGGAACAATGAATAAATGTTCACGTATTATTATTGATGAACCATTTTCAACTGAAACGTTTTTCGATATTGTTGAAAAATATCGTGTAACGAATTTATTATGTCCACCATCACAATTAGCTTTGATAACACAAAGTCCTGAATTAGAGAAACGTGATTTATCCAGCATAATAAAATTTAATTGTGGAGGTGGTGCTGTACCAGTTGTATTAATAAAAAAATTTGAAAAATATTTAACAAATGGATTTGTTTTTGTTGCATATGGTATGAGTGAAATTTCTGGTTGTTCAAATATCGAATCTCTGAAGTATAAACGTATTGGTTCAGTTGGACAAATGACACCAAATGCTGAAATAAAAATTATAGATTCTCATAATAATCAATTGGGAATTGGTGAACAAGGTGAAATATGTTTAAGAATAGATGTTAAATGGCCCGGCTATTATGGTAATGAAAAAGCAACAAATGATATTTATGATAAAAATCGTTGGATACATTCCGGTGATATTGGATATTTTGATAACGACGGTTATTTATTTGTTGTAGATAGAAAGAAAGATATATTAAAATATAAGAATTTTCATGTTTCTCCTACTGAAATTGAACAAATTATATTAGAATTACCAGATGTATTAGAAGTTTCTGTTTGTGGTGTACCAGATATTGTTTATACAGATTTACCTACTGCTTTGGTTGTAAAAAAATCACAAAGTAATTTAACATCAGATGATATTTTAAAATTAGTTGAAACGAAATTAGCTGATTTTAAAAAATTACGAGGTGGAGTTTATTTTGTTAAAGAGCTACCAAAAACGGCATCAGGAAAAATTCAAAGAAATAAAATAAAAGAAATGGCAAATCAATTTTCAAAGCAAAAGGAAATTGCGACGCGATGAATGGAAATTCGATTTCAATTTATTTGCTTTTTCTTTCTGTTCTAAGTTTCTTTATTTTTTAAGCAAATAATTTAATAATTTTTGATGTAGCTTATAAGTTTATGTAAATAAGATTACAATTATGTAAAAAATAAAGTAAATTTAATACAATTAACCTTTGTAAAAAAATACAAGTTTCGAATGAATTAACCATTTCCAAAAAAAATGTTGATTAGCTATTTAAAATTTCAGATTAAACATTTGTTTTCAAAATAATTTGAAGAATTTTCAAAAATTTATCCTAAAGAAGAATCATACAAGTTTGGGTTTATACCACTAATTATGTACAAAAGAGACAAGAATGATTGATAGGTGTAAGATGATTTTGTATTTTAGATTTGAATTGCCTTATATTGCGTGTTATTATAAAATATACTTTCTTTCTCCGGGTTTTACTAATAAGCATATATTCGGATTTCGTAAAGGCAGAGTGGTCAGGAAATACTGTTTCTATTATAAAAAAAAAAAACTAGAAACAAATACATTTAACTTCGATTTAACCGCTAGCTCAAACCGGGTTTGTACTAATTTTCAGAGTAATACTTCTTGTACCCGGTAACTCAGATCTGATTTTTTAAATTAGATTCTTAATTAATTCAATTAAATCACTTTATTTGAACTTTGAAGGTAATTTGAAAGGGATTGATTGATAAAAATCTTATTCTTTATTTGCCGAATTTTAGATTTTATGTCTTTAAAGATTTATATAGAGGTTTTTTATAAAAGTAAGTACACAACACACATTCACTAATAATCGAAACAGTTATATTCACCTTTATTTGTATGCCATAGAGAAATTCAATGTTGTGTCATATTGAGACAAAGTGTGTTAGGTTTTAATGCACATATGTTTGTACATGTTCAAAAAACAAAGTTTTAATTATGTTTTATCAACACTATGTAACTGTTATGCGATTATAATACAAACATAATACATATGTAGTTTTGGTACATCGTTTTATAACTGTTATTTACCATTGCAATACAATGTTCGAATACAAGATGTACGAACAATTTTGTTTATACTCTACATATTTTTAATAGACTCAGTCTGTGTATAATTCATACATTTACTGTTTTGCCATTACATCTCCGTTAATCTAATTATACATGTATATGTACATATATAAAATATGTAACTTTATACTATTAATTAAAAAACAGCTGGTTAAATATATTCAAACCAAATTTAAACCTAATTAGAATATAAAAACTTTAATGCACTTAGTCTTTTACAATAAGACATAACAGTACAGTATCATTTAAATATATTAGAAAGATGTTTCATTTATCAATGGAAATTATATATAACAGTTAAATAAGTATAATTACACAATAAAATGTAGCCAAACATTGTTCCGACAATCAGGCAAAAACTAAAACTGAAAATGTTGTAGCAATACAAATTGCAAAATACTTTTAAAAAAACTTTTATAATAACTCAAAATACTTTAAAAAAAAGATCGGAACTTTTATGACATGTTTTCTAATTTTAAAACTGCAGTGATCTTCAATACTAGAGATTTCAACTTGTTATTTTGAATTACAGAATTGTGTGTATTACAATTTAACATTATTATTGCAATTTCAGTCAGTGTATAATAAGCATACACCGTTTACATACCGTTATATTTACAATGTTATCTTTATTTCTCTTAGCTATGCATAGTAAAAAATAATTACTGGAATACCATGTAGCTGTATTCGAAGACTATTAAAATTTTATTTTTGATAAATTTACTTTAAATCGAACAGGATTTTAAAATTAAATAAAAATTTAATTTACTTATTTTTAGCAAGTCTAATTACATTATTGAAAGCAAGTAAATCCGTTTTACTTACACAAATTTTTCTAAATGAAACTTATTTACTACATGAGCTAATTTTTCAGTCTAACTTGGTTTATTCAGCAATATAATTTTAATATCTGAATAAATGCGATCTTAAAATATTAGATCTGCAGGTAACCATATAAAGAATGACAACATCTCAAACTATTTAATATTTTGAACATATTTTATATATTATAAAACAATTATAATATTTATAAGTCTATAGAAAATATTAGAAAATAATAATAAAGAAAGAATTTAGATAGCTGTGTTGCCGATATATGTATATATTTTAAAACAGTATAACAATTATAAATATTACTTACCAATTAATATTCTATAAGTATTTTGACCCTATAACAATCACTACAATATTTAATATAGAAAAAATTAAAATTATATTTTTTAAAACAAAATTCATCTCACTTACTGTATACTGTGAAATTACATAATGATTATAGATCTATAACTATAATTTTATGACTTTTATCTCCACATTTTATATATGTATGTAAATATATGTATATGTTCTTAATAAATAGTAATTTGTATATAACTAATAATTTTTTATACATATGGACGGTAATAAATTTGAAGTTTTGTAAAAAATTTTTTTTGTTTGCCTTCAAAAACTTATAAAAACTCTGCACAATATTCATTTAATTCTCAGTTTATAACTGAATTTCGTACAGATTTTTTTTAATAAAAAATTAATTTAAGGAATATTTAAAATTTTATAGAACTGGATTTGATTAATTATACATACATACTTACATACATTCTAAAATTATAAATCTTAAAGTTTTAAATTATACAAAAAAAATTGTTTAATTAATTGAGTTTTTTTTTATCACTCTTTGAATTTCAAAACCAGAAATATGTTTAAGTGTAAAACAAATTATGATGCTGAACAAAAAATTTGGTATGGGCCAAAAATAAAATCTAATTCAAATAGTGATAATAAATCAGCTGGTGAATTTATATTATCTGTTTTGGAAAAAGTACCAAATAAAGTTATACAGGTGAGATAAATTTTTAGTGAGCTCGATTTTTGGTGAAACGTGTAACTGTGAACGCATTCCTTTGTACTTGAATTTGTATTGGATTAAAAGTGTTTTATTATAATTTATATTTAATTTTATTTAAAAAAAGATGTAGCAAGTAACATGTAAGTAGAAATTACATGATTCACTAATTGAAATTTTTAATTTATTATTGTAAATAAATTAATATGTAAAATATACGTTCCATGGTACAAGACGTTTTTGTTGTATAATTTAACAATAATTTAAAAAATCTGATCGAGACAAAAAATGCTCTTGATTAAAATGTAAAACGGCTCTAGTTAATGGAATATATAATTAATTTAATATTGTATAAAAAACTAAATGATTATGGTTTGAAAATATTTTAAAACAACATACATACATACATATCTAATATATCGAATAAGAGCAGAATAGTGTTTTCGGCAATAAAAAAATACTTTTCTGAATCTGTATGGCATTTAAAGAAAATTTATATATTTTCTGTGCTATGACTATGGTCCACATATAAAGCTATCCAATTGTACTTAATCTATATAAGTAGCTATTAAATAAATATATTTAATTTTAATACGTGAGCATTTCAATTTAAGTGTGTGAATACGATTATTAAGATTTATATTTAGGTAATAATTAAATTATATCTATTATGTGAAATAAAATATCGATTTTGATAAAACAAAATTGTCAGAATCCAAATTTCTATAGAATGCAGTAAAAGTAAAAATTTTTTTATTGAAAATATTGCCAAATTTTTTATTAACAGAAATTAGAAATCTATTAATGTTATCTTTTAATTAATTTAATATATTTATTTCAAATAATCTTATTAAATTCTTTTATCTTTTAATTAATTTGCAATTCAATATTCAGTGTCAAAGTTATACTTTCTATTGTTTGATAGTGACACCGTACCTAATTTTTAGAAATTGAAGAACAATTAATTCACAATTGTACTTTGTATTGCACTAAACATTTTTATGTGAAAATATACACAATTATACTTGACAATATCAATTTATAAATTTTAAAATGAAATTGTCAAATTTCAACTACATTAATGTGGAGAAATTTTTAATTCTATTGTACGATATAATCCATACACACATTCATAAATATGTATGTATATGTATTAACAACAATTTAATACTCCAAAATTCTAACTCTAACTCTGCCTCTTCTTCATACAATATTCTAAATTTCAGATTAGTGCAAATAATGGAATACAAATCACTGGTAAACAAATGCATACTCTCAGTATAAGAGCATGTCAAAATCTTCAACTAAAGGGCTTGAAGCAGAATGATGTTATTGGATTTGCAGCTAGCAATAGTCATTATTTAGCTCCAATAGTTTTTGGTTCATTTTTATGTGGAACAACACTTAGCACATTAGATCCATCGTTCAGAAAAGGTACTTACACTGAAAAATTAAATTATGTATATGTACATATGTGGTAATGTTCTTAATAAATTTTTATAAAATTTCGTATTTACTTGCACTTATGTACATAAAAATTTAAATTTTTTAGATGAAATAAAGCATATTTATTCATTTACAAAACCAAAGATAATATTTTGTGATCCTGAGAATTATGAAGCTATGAAAGATAGTAATGCTGAATTGAATTTAAATGCCGCAATTTATTTGATGAAAGGTCATGTTGAAGGAGTAGAAACAGTTGAAGTGTTTTTAAAATCAACTGGAACAGAACAGAATTTCGTGTAAGTAAAGAAATATGTACCTATTATGTTATAGTTTATGTAGTTGAATATCAGACCATAAATTCTCTTGTGTTTTAGTCCTCCTAAATTACAAGATGGAGGTGATCAAGTTGCAACTATATTATGTTCATCAGGAACAACAGGATTACCGAAAGGTGTCTGTATGTCACATAAAATGTTAATAAGGCCAACTGGCGTCACGTAAGTTTTTAACGAAAAAAAAAATTAATTAATTTGTAATTGTCATTTTACTAAATAAATTTTTTTATAATAGAACTTTGACAGAAGATGACGTCTTCTTGTGTTATAGTTCCTTATATTGGTTAAGTGGATTAATTATGGTAATTGTAAATTATTTTGTAATATTAATTAATTTAAACAAATTTTTTATATAATTTAAAATACAGTTAACCCTGGGAACAATGAATAAATGTTTACGTGTTATTATAGATGAACCATTTTCAACTGAAACCTTCTTTGATATTGTTGAAAAATATCGTGTAACGAATTTAT